AAGTCTTTCTCTTTGCACTTTTAATTACCCTTCTTGCAGCTGCCCTTTTCTTCTGATATTCTACAACTGTATCTTGAGTTATTAACCTTTTAAAAATCTGGAATGCCTTATTCCTCTCTCTAATTGCCACTGTGCACTCTTCAGACCACCACGGTACACTTTTCTTTTTTTCCCATCACCTCTTATTAACGGTATAGATTGGTTTGCTGCAGAAACGATTTCACCTATATTTCTCTTCCAACTTCACATACTTCCAACTTCACACACAACACATACAATTGCTTCCATTTTGCCTGCTTAAATCCCCATCTTGCACACTGAATAAAGTTTTCCTTTCGAATTGCATTCTGAATCTCACATACTGCAGGCTAGTGATCACTGCCCAAATTATCTTCATGTACACTCCAAGTACACTTACCAGCTAAGGCAGCTGATGTTATTGTGAGATCTAAACATGACATGCCACCTTTTCTTATATCCATTCTTATTGGTTTCCCATCATTCAAACATACAAGTGAGTGCTCTTCTATAACTATCCCATTATTGTCTGTATTTTTACTACCCCATAAACCATTATGTGCATTAAAATCCCCACATATAATAATTTTACCCTGTGAATCACCCATCACTTCTTCTAAAATAGTATAACTTATTTCTTTGCATGGGTTATAAAAAATTGTAATTCTAATTTCTTCACGTATTCCCATTACTTCTATACTTACACATTCTACATTATTACTTTTGTATATTCTCTTATATGCTACGCCTTCTTTAATAAATGTCGCATACCCTCCACCTCTTCCAGTTTCTCTATCTTTCCTCTCTACTACATATCCACTGATCTTAAAATCCAAGGTGCTATTTAACCATGTCTCCTGAATACACATGGTGTCTGGTACCTTTTCCATTTCTGTGATATGTTTTTTAAATTCTTGCCCATTTGCTATTAAGTTCCTGGCATTCCAATGTAGTAGCAAGACATTATACAACTATTTATTATTACTCTGAGTCATATCCAAAGCCGCAGTTCCTTCCTTTGCTTTCAAAATCCCATGGGCCTCCTCCGCTGTAAAAACAAAAGCTGCAAAACTGCTATAAACGCAAAGGATGGTCTCGCCAAATGTTGATTTAATTTAGTTAATAAAAGTTAATTGATAAAGAAAATCTATTTATGGCATTATTTTTGCAGCATTTTTACACAAATGCCTAAAACTTTGAACAGTACTGTAGCTTTGCAGATAGGTGTCTTGAAGCATCTTGGAGACGTTGCCACAGTTCTTCTGGATTTAGTCTGTCTCAGTTTATTCTGTTTCTTCATGTCATTCCAGACAGACTGATGATGATGAGCTCAGCTCTCTGTGTGGAGCACTGGCTGTTGTCAGACAAAAATCTCACTGGATTATTACAATTAATGGCAAAATGAATGTTTGGAAATGTAAACTGATATTTCCTACTGACACACTACAGCAAAAGATAGAAATAACGGACTTAAAAAAAATTTTTAAGCTGGTGAAAATACTAGTGTTCTACTAATTTTGACCACCTATATATATATATATATACAAAAAAAAAATTCTTCAACCAGCCTGAGCTGATTTGCTGGTCTTGGCTGGTCTACTAGATTGGTCTGTGGCTGTTAGACCAGTGCAAACCAAATAAAACAAGCAAACCATCTTAGACCATCTTGGTGATTCAGTCATATTATTGGGCTATTATTATTATTATTATTATCATTTTAAATGGATGCTCCTGACCTGCAGTTTGCTGTAAATTCTAACATTTGATAAGTGAAGTTGATTTTCATTTTGATTTTCAATTTGAAAATATTGGCTGCACTTGGAAATGCAGTGGGGCAACTTCCATTTGACAGGCAGTTCAACAATTTGATTAAAAAGGTTCTCTGAGTTCAAACAGTGAGCTCACTGCGTTGATGCTTATCTCGCGAGAACTCTCTCCCTTGCTTGTGTCGGCGATGCTGATGCTGATGCTGTGAATTTGATTGACGCGAACATGTCGGTGTGATGGGGGAGCGCCGGGATGCAGCTGATGATGGTCCAGAAGGGGAATACGTGCAGTCAAATCAGACGTTATCGTTAAGAAATATCACCTAACGTTCTCCTTTATCATCTATAACAAAGATGTCTGAATTTGTGTTGCATTTCACACGCGCGCAATGGATCTAGCTGATGCCACCGCAGCGAGGATCTGATTTGTATTTTTTCCTTCCTTCCTTCAATATCTGTGTATTATGGTAGAGTCAAGCCGGAGCATCAAACATAAACTGTGCAACCCTGATGACAACACCGTCAGGAAATCAGGATATCAACAATGGAATCGCCTTACACGTAGAGTCTAGTTTTTCGTGATCACACACACACCATTATTAGTGCTTTCACGAACGCACTATCCAAGTGTTGTCTAATCTGATTGAGCGAGAAAAGTAGCCTGCACTTAAGAGACGGACCACTGCTCGCAAATTATGGACGAGGAGAATATGACCAAAAGCGACGAGCATCATCTGAGTTTGCAAAAAGCCTTGCAGCAGTGCGAACTGGTGCAAAACATGATAGACATTAGTATCTCCAGCTTGGAAGGTCTGAGGACCAAATGTGCCACATCCAACGACTTGACACAAAAAGAAATCCGAACACTGGAGGTAAGCGAGCATCCATTTGCCTGAGCCCAAATGTGAATGTTGCACCCCAGCATTTCTACAAATGTCACGAGAGTGGATGCTTGTGGGCGCGTGCATGCACATTAAACAATTTCGCATCTTTGAATGTGTTTCCAGTTCAAGTTGCGTCTCGGGGATTGACTGTATTGGCGTAATAAATGAAGAAGCTGGCGCTGCAGTGCGCATTCTGCAGGTGGTGAAGAAGGTGGCTCGTGCGTTCGCGCTGCTAACATGGACACCGAAAGGGGCCTATTGTTGACATGAATTTATATCCTCGTTTTTTAATGATCCTCGTCGTTCGTACAATATAAACATGAGATCGTTTTAAATTGTGTTATGTAACCAGAGGAACTGTCCCAGATATTTTCTTTCGATATGATGGCAGTTTTTGTAGTAGCCTACTGTAGTGGTCGCCCAAAAATGGGTTTTTCAAAGACCCTATAGCTAGATCAGGGTGGCCGACTTGTGTGAGAACGGGAAACGCATTCTGTTTGAACGTCTTTTACTGTTTTTCCCCCTTTATGTAGGCTAATGTGTCTCAAACTTGGGGATGGGATTCGATTCATTTTCCGATTATTCTAAACGATTCCGGTTTCATTAGGGATTCGATTCGAGCTACTTTTCTTTCATTTAGCAGCTCATGATGCTTTCTGCCTTGAACAGCTTGTTGCCAAATGATGAGATCATTTCAGCTTTAAACAGAATAGATTTCAGCATCAAAATTCTATAAAAAACTCTATGTGCATAAGTGCATAAGCATAAGTGAAATAAAATAATAATAATAAAATAACTGATTGAAAAAAAGAAAAAGGGTAACACTTTATTTCGATAGTACACTTTAGACATTCTATTAACAGTAAGCAACTACATGTCAACTAGCAGTTAGTAGAGTATTAGTAGACTGTCTGCTTAATATCTTCTAACACTTTCTTTGTCAACTTATTCTACTAACCCTAAACCTACCCTAACAGTCTGCTCTGAGAGTTAGCAGACATGTAGTTGCAAATTAATGAGAATTAGTTGACATGTAGTTGACATGTAGTTACAAAGTTACTTATAGTTAGTAGAATGTCTAAAGTGGACTATCGAAATAAAGTGTAACCGAAAAAAGTAATGAAATAAATACAAAATAAAACATAACACTCTTAATATTTATATTGGCATGAATGATGTGTTAGTAGGCCGCTGATTTATATCTCATGAGCCTTACAACAAAACAGATAGACTAACCGGACGAAATGAAAGTACTCACTCGCTGTTCAAGCGAGTCAGATTCATTCAGAAACGGTTTAGCTATTCAAAAGTGTTTCTTTTACTAAAAATAATTGTCTCATAAAAGTCATTCGTTTGATGGACTACGCTGATCCCACTATATTTATTGAAATCACTAAAAAGAACCAATTCATATGAGTAATTTGCTCAGGAATCAAATTACTTTTACTCACGCTGTATGTTTTTGATTTACTGAAAAGAACCGACTCACAAGAGCCATTCATTCAGGAATCTGACTACCAGTTACTCTCTATTTGATTGGCTTTTCAGTAAAATGTACGCCGTAAAACAATTAGTTGGTTTTAAACACCTAGTTCAGAACTGGTGTTTTAAATTTGAACAATTCGTTAATTACAGTAGGCCTATCTCCCAAAAGAAGCCAAAACAATAGTCTGATAATTTTTCTGTTAGTCTACCTTTTTGCTGCAAAACACACTTGTGCAATTGGACTTGTAACTGCAAACCTTACTGAGATATAGCCTTTGTGAAAACGTCCCATGTAGTCCTGGTCTCACCTGTTTGAATGGGTGGGGATTTTTAGACTTTTCCAACTGCAGTCCTGCCTGATTTGGCACAAATTTCCTCCCAGCAGTCAGTTGGTTGATTTCTTTTGCTCTGTGTTTGCAGCATGTTTAGGCTTCAGATGTTGGTTTACATTAGACTGGGGTCTGTGCAGATGCAAGAAAAAAGTATTTCTGCTTATGGGCTTGATGTGTAGGCTGTATGACACCTATTTCTTAACCCCACCATCTTGTCAATATCTTACATTTTAGCTTAGTCAGTTATTTATGTTCGGGTCTTTATGATATACTATTACTTTATTTTGTGATTATATCTGTGTTTTTGTGTAAGATGATACTTTTGATTCTGATTATGTGCTGTTGCATGCATGTTGGCATAGTGTTACCCATTTTTTGACTGCTTTTCAGAAGCTCTCTAGTATTTTTGCACTCTGTTCTCTTGATGTGGGGAAACCCATTTTCCATTGGCTGTCGATTGCAGCCGTCACTAGTGTCAGTATGTCACAATGAAGCACTTTGTTTGTTCATGTTGATGGAATAATAATTACAAACATGAGATATTATCAGGGGGTTCTTGCTTGTTTATCTGGTGATGGATGTGCATTACCATCCTCAATTTTACAGGCAGCAGTGATGCTCAAAGCGTAATGGCATTTGGTATCAGCAATACAGGGATCCCTCTTTAAATATATGAGCTTTTACCAAAAATAATAAAAACTCATTCAAGGTTTAAAGTATATTGCAACAGGGCATTTTCTGTGGTCTAGACAAACCATGCACTTCAAATACAGCAGGTACTGATAGGATATGTAGTATTTTCTAATCAAGGATTACCATTTATGTTGTTTTGTAAATTCATAATATTCATAACAAGCATATCCTTTGCTTACAAATTGCCATTGGCTTAAATGACATTAGAAACAACATAGAATCTACTATAGTGGACCCATAACAGCCACGGAATAAAAAAACAAAGGAAGCTGCAACTTTTATGTCACAGTTCTAATAAAGTCACAAGTGTAAGATAAAAGTCACAGTTACCTTTTTAATAAGGTAGAAAAAACGCAGAGTTGCAAGATGCAGAATTCAGAGAAAAAATAGAATTGCAAGATGTACACTCAGAATTGTGAGAAAAAAGTCAGAATTCTGAGTTTATATCTCGAAATTCCCCCCCCTTAGAATATGAAGTTTATATCTCGCAGTTCTATGTTTCGATGCCACAATTCTTTTTTCTTTCTGACGTTTTTTTGCGTGTAAAATAAATCTGAACTATGAGATAAAATGCTGCAATTATATATTTTTTCATTTCAAGGCTTCCATAATGGTCAGATGTCTCAAATAAATAAATAAATAGTCATAAAACATTTGTTTTTGAATCATAAAAATGTAAAATGAAAATGATTGATTAAATAAAAATGCAAATAAATTATTTTACATGCCATGTGACAATTAACTGTTAAAATGCCAAATGTGTTGTTAAATTATTGCAATATTTAAGAAATTACTTGTTAATATTAGGCCAAAAGGGTTCAGCTGACAAAAAGTTTGGGATTTCTTGGGTTAAAGAATGAATCCGTTCTGTTCGAAATATACCTGCAGCCTTTCTAAAATAACAAGAGAGAGTTTCATGGATTTGGTATGACTTGTATTTAGTTCAAGAAGTGAATTGAGAACTTTGAGTGAAAATGTACATTAGAAGAAACATCTCTAGGCTTTAATCCTTGATTATTTCAGCTGGGACCCACAGACAATGTGTTTTGTTTTCATACAGTAACATTCAGCAAACAGTGTTGCCATGGGAGATCAACTCAACACAAATGAAACTGAACAGACTACCGATGTAGATGGACAGTATTCAATAAACTGATAAGGCTGAAATGATCAAATAGCCGATTATTATTTACTCGTTAGCTTGAAAGGTCAACATTTATCTTGATGGCATCCAGTGTGTGATATTCCTCATGTACTGTATAACGCAGGCTCACTTGTGGACAATCCATAAGGACGCAACAAATCCATGTTGTGCCTTTTGTTGTTAAAAAAGTGGCTTTTTAAGTTCAGTTACTCAATTTACACAGTAAGTAAATGTAATGTTTTAAGTTAATGCAGAATAATTAAGAACAAGTTTTTATTGCATGTGATTTTTGCAAATGATGTGCTTGATCTCATTTTTTCTTGAAGAAATGAATATTCCATATTTACAGTACATGCATATTCATCGCATAACTACTCGTGAAATAGCTTAAAATGTGTAACATTTCTAAATGTGACAACGAAACCCCCAACAACTGTCTAAATAAAACTGGTATATGGTCAAACAATGCAACTATATTAATTATTTATGCCCCGGTGCATGCTGGGAATGGAGCTGAACCACAAAACCTTTTTTCCAGTATAGACTTATTTGAGCTAAAATGCATTAATATAAACAACAAATCCATGTTGTGCCTTTTGTTGTTAAAAAAGTGGCTTTTTAAGTTCAGTTACTCAATTTACACAGTAAGTAAATGTAATGTTTTAAGTTAATGCAGAATAATTAAGAACAAGTTTTTATTGCATGTGATTTTTGCAAATGATGATCTCATTTTTTCTTGAAGAAATGAATATTCCATATTTACAGTACATGCATATTCATCGCATAACTACTCGTGAAATAGCTTAAAATGTGTAACATTTCTAAATGTGACAACGAAACCCCCAACAACTGTCTAAATAAAACTGGTATATGGTCAAACAATGCAACTATATTAATTATTTATGCCCCGGTGCATGCTGGGAATGGAGCTGAACCACAAAACCTTTTTTCCAGTATAGACTTATTTGAGCTAAAATGCATTAATATAACTCACCTGCTGCTTTTTGCTTCATCTTAAAAAAAGTAGTATATTATGACAGAAAACACCGAAAAAGAATATTTAGTTGATGTAAGAATCATTTAGTGCATTTATGCTTTTTCCACCCAAAAAGTTGTGTGAATAGTTAAATATTAAAATCTTTAAAACCATAAATAGAGTACATGAGAGACAAAGATTTGGAAATGCTATACACTGTAAAGAAAATACTGTTTCAGTTTTTCTACTTTAAAATTTCATGTTTAATTTACTGTGTTACTTGCCGTTTTTCTGTAATGGTTTTTAAAATGTGGTGAAGCTTTAAATGTTGCATTCATATTCCTCTTTATGTCCCTGCACAAAGGCTGCAGTGACATCCCTGTCTTGGGAAACTTGTCCAGTTTAGAATATTCATGTTTTTCCAACATGCTGAGAAACAGTTCAAAGACATCATGAAATATTGAATGACATGAAGGACAGATAAAAATGCCAAGCATTGCATTTAGAGTTTGCTTACAGATCTGCATATGTGACTGATGAAAATTGTTCAACTTATATTTACATATTAAAAATGTTAAAATGTCATGTTGTTGAATGGGTGCTATATAAAGTTCTTTCTTTCTTTTTTTGTCAGGGTAAACTGGTGAAGTATTTTAGTCGGCAGCTCTCTTACAAGCATAAAGTGTCCTTACAGGAGCAGAATGTGGAGTTGGATGGATTCCCGCGGCTGGGACACTGGTTCCGCATTGTTAACATGAGGAAGGAGGTTATTGAGGTATGTGCAGTCCTGTGTGTTGCGTCCTAAACCAGTCATATACAAACCCCGCCCCACAGATGATTTCATTGGTTGACTCCATCACACAGTCACCTGTCAAGAAAAGTTCAGACTTCATGGATTCAGAAATATCATGTATGGATTTGATTGTGACAGACAGTAATGCTGTCTATCAATGTGCTACCAATGTTAGGGTGTAGGTTAGGGTTAGTATTTGTTTCATTTGTTTTATTTAATTAGCCTTGTGATTGACATTAGTAATGAAATCTGTAGAATTCATTTTTGTCTCAAACAGGGTTATCGTTAACTAAAACTAAAACCATAAAAAAATTAATCAAAATAAAATATTATAAGCATAAAATATTAAAAACGTCAAACTTTTGCAGCTGTTTGCTTAGGCAACATTTCGAATTTTTGTTTATAATCAAAGTGCTAAAATAAATAAAATAAAACTAAAGTTTAAAAACTGAAACCAAAAAACTAATTACAAAAACTGTCAAATTAAAATGAAAACGGAAAATATAAAAACTAAATCTAATACTACACAGTACTTGAAATAAAAATAAATATTAACGGAAATAAAATATAAAAAAAAACTTAAAATATCAAAAATTATAATTGTATGTCAGTGATTCTAAAATAACGCTGGTCTCAGATCATGTCTTTGGACAATAAAAGTTTTGGTCCATCCAGTCAATCATCAACTTTCATTTCTATATTATCTGTTATCAAGGTCCAAAATTAATAAGTTCCAAATGCATCTAAATATGGCAAGTAAATAAAGCCAGTTGGTCTCTAACATTTTTGGAAGTGCACAGTAATGTATGATTTAAAGTGATGATTTTATATACTGTAAGAGCAATAATCTCTGACATAAGCAATATTTGCAAATCAAATAAAAATAGTCTAGCAGAGAAAAGAAAAGTGAGAAATAAGAAAATGTCACTAAATCTTGTCTTAAATACTGACAATTTTACTCTGCTTTATTTCTAAAAACAACTCCATTTAAGCTATTATATTTATAATATTTTTACTAACCCTACATGAAACTAAGTTTTGATTTAATTACGCCATTTTGTTTCATTGTCAGTGCTTGATTTCAAGCTGAAATTGGTGAAAGGAAATGATCAGAAAACAGGAACAGTAAGAAAGCTGACAAATTACACACGTTTCAGAATTTAGTCCTATACATGCTCAGATAGGATGGCAGTGAGATGTTTTACAAGCTATGTCTATGCAAAGAAAATAAAGGCAGAAAACAGAAGAAAGAAAATAAATACAATATATGAATATCTAAAAGTTGTACAGTAAAGTGAACATAGTGATGTGAAATCCAGATTTAAGTGAGAGTGCGGAGAGATGTGCAGTTATATGTAAATGTGTGACTGGTTGACGGTTGGCTAGTGAGAGCATCCTAATGTAGGATCAGGATGCTTTGTGGGAAGTAGCTGCTTCTGAGCCTCCCCATGCAGTGCATCTCGAAATATTTCCCGTCTGATGGCATAAAAGGTTGTAAACATACGGTCTAGAACAGCAGATTCTCTGAAGGCCTTGAGGTTTTTCCTCCTGTGTCGCTGTCCTCGGTGCTGAAGTGTTGGCGCTGTCCAATGTCCTGAAGCCCCCTGCTGATGTGGAGAAGGAATTGCAGCTATATAGAGCACAACACTCAGGCTCCTGAAAGAAAAACCTTATTAATTTTGGCCATAGAGGAATTAACCAATGTTATATGCTTTTGCTGAAGCCATCAGCCCACATTATTTCAACTCGTTTGTCTCTCTATATACAATTATCATTTAAAAAACAATATTTTTACATTTATCCTTTGTATTTAATTTATGTCATTTGCAGTGCTTCATGGAATTGTAGTTCTTTTCGTCATTAGAGCCGTTAAGTACAGAGTCTTGTACCTTTGCCTTTTTGTCTGATTTTCAAATACTTTGTGTTACAAATCAAAGTTTGTAATATTGTGATTCACCTCATAGCCTGCTGGTTTAGTTCATGGTTTAGAACTCTCAAATAAAGACATTTTGGAAAAACGAATGGGGAAATACTTCCTGAACGAAGACTGATGAAAAAAGTGGACAGGGACTGTACTAAACTTGTATGTTTTAGAATGAAAAAATATGTTATATAGATGTTATATATAACATCACACATATTTTAAAGAAGCTGAGTGCTTACGTTTTGAATTTTATTGTAATTGTTTGGCTTCTTGCGTGGTAATTGAAGGTTGTAGTTTCGAATCTGTCACCATTGAGCAAAGCATTTGCTGTAATAAGTTTATCGCTCGAATAAGTCCCTGTTATACTGTATGTTTATTGTAATTTATTGTGGATAACAGCATTAGTAATTGTATGTGTTGCTGACATATTTATGAGTCCAAGTTAAGTCTCATGTCTTTTGTCATCAGTCTGCTTCAAGTTTTAAATTAACATTTTCCTATATTCTATATATTAGTTTTATAAATCCTGTCAATTAATTACATTTATTTAAAAAGAGGTACTATTTCAAGTGATTTCTTTGTTCAGATCAAGTCATACTGACGCTATATAAAAATAGTACTGTTTTACGTTTTACTTGAATCAAAAGATAATTTTGTTTAACATCATATATTTTTTTAAATGAATAATTTATTGGTCATTTTTAACTTGTTTTGTACAATTTCACTCAGAATTTCCCATAATAACAAATAAAACGGCAACTATGGCAATTACTTGTCATTTTGAACCCAACTTATGTATGTGTTTTGAGAAACAAGTATGTGAAAAAAATGATGCATATGTGACCAAAACACTAATAAATAAAATAAAATGTATTATAAAATAATAAAATAAACAGTAATATTGTGAAATATTATTACAATGAAAAAAACATTAAGTAAAAAAAAAAAAAAACTTAAATATTACGTTTTTAGCTTAATATATTTTAAAATGTAGCAGCCATTACTCCAGTCCTCAGTGTCACATGATCCTTTGGAAACATTTACTCTTATAAATGTTGACAACAGTTGTGATGAATAATAAAAAGTTGGAAGTTGAAATAGAAATCTTTTTTCACATTATGTCTTAACTGTCACTTTTGATCATTTTAATGCATTCTTGCTGAATAAAAGTATTACTTTCTTTAAAAAAAAAACGTATTACTGACGTGAACTATTGAACAGTAGTGGACTATTTTAAAAATACTTTTTTGGAAGTTGTATTCAAAATCCACTTGGCTTTAAAATCTCTTGGGGCACATGTGAATGACATCCAAGTGATTTCTCAAATGGTTTTTCAGTCTAGGTCAGCTTGCACATCTCTCAGACTTGACTCTTTATTGTAGGAGATCTCTCCAGGTGAGCTGACTCTGGAGACTCTGTTGGAGATGTCGGATGAGCAGGTGTGTGAGGCGCTGCAGAAGTTTGGAGCGAGTGATGAAGAATGTGCTCGGCTCAATGCCTCGCTCACATGTCTACGATCAGCCCACAAATCAGGTGAGTTCACAGGATGCAGCTAAAAATATGACCTAACTGTTCTATAAGCCATCTTACAGCCCTGAATTACTGACGGTAACAATATAAGACAAATGCTGTCTGTCTATCTGTTTATCTGTCTGTCTGAATATCTACACTTTATGGCAAAAAGTACAGCAAAGAACCAAAACACAGAATTCTTTAAAATATCATTATATGGTGTAGCATTTAGATTTGTTTTTACTAAAATGACTGGAATAGTTAATTTGAGGTATCCATATATTTTGGTCACATGGTTATGTTCTGTTTAATTTATGTCATTTGCAGTGCTTCATGGAATTGTAGTTCTTTTCGTCATTAGAGCCGTTAAGTACAGAGTCTTGTACCTTTGCCTTTTTGTCTGATTTTCAAATACTTTGTGTTACAAATCAAAGTTTGTAATATTGTGATTCACCTCATAGCCTGCTGGTTTAGTTCATGGTTTAGAACTCTCAAATAAAGACATTTTGGAAAAACGAATGGGGAAATACTTCCTGAACGAAGACTGATGAAAAAAGTGGACAGGGACTGTACTAAACTTGTATGTTTTAGAATGAAAAAATATGTTATATAGATGTTATATATAACATCACACATATTTTAAAGAAGCTGAGTGCTTACGTTTTGAATTTTATTGTAATTGTTTGGCTTCTTGCGTGGTAATTGAAGGTTGTAGTTTAGAATCTGTCACCATTGAGCAAAGCATTTGCTGTAATAAGTTTATCGCTCGAATAAGTCCCTGTTATACTGTATGTTTATTGTAATTTATTGTGGATAACAGCATTAGTAATTGTATGTGTTGCTGACATATTTATGAGTTCAAGTTAAGTCTCATGTCTTTTGTCATCAGTCTGCTTCAAGTTTTAAATTAACATTTTCCTATATTCTATATATTAGTTTTATAAATCCTGTCAATTATTTACATTTATTTAAAAAGAGGTACTATTTCAAGTGATTTCTTTGTTCAGATCAAGTCATACTTACGCTATATAAAAATAGTACTGTTTTACGTTTTACTTGAATCAAAAGATAATTTTGTTTAACATCATATATTTTTTAAATGAATAATTTATTGGTCATTTTTAACTTGTTTTGTACAATTTCACTCAGAATTTCCCATAATAACAAATAAAACGGCAACTATGGCAACTATGCCAACTTATGTATGTGTTTTGAGAAACAAGTATGTGAAAAAAATGATGCATATGTGACCAAAACACTAATAAATAAAATAAAATGTATTATAAAATAATAAAATAAACAGTAATATTGTGAAATATTATTACAATGAAAAAAACATTAAGTAAAAAAAAAAAAAAAACTTAAATATTACGTTTTTAGCTTAATATATTTTAAAATGTAGCAGCCATTACTCCAGTCCTCAGTGTCACATGATCCTTTGGAAACATTTACTCTTATAAATGTTGACAACAGTTGTGATGAATAATAAAAAGTTGGAAGTTGAAATAGAAATCTTTTTTCACATTATGTCTTAACTGTCACTTTTGATCATTTTAATGCATTCTTGCTGAATAAAAGTATTACTTTCTTTAAAAAAAAAACGTATTACTGACGTGAACTATTGAACAGTAGTGGACTCAATATTCAAATACCTGGCTTTTGTTTGCTGTAGCAGTATTGCAGCGCACTTCAGAAACCCTCCACCTTCCCCAGCTCCACCTGTATAGATCTGCTACGGGGTGATTCATGTACGCTATATGGGGGTTATTCAGATGTGTAATATGTGCAGCAGCAGTATTTCTTACATGTTCACCGCAGCATGTTGTGGATGTATTGGCAGTAGCGAGTCTCGGCACTTGCTCTGCCGCAGCAGCAGCAGCAGCAGCAGCGTAGCAGATCTATTCCGCCAAGACCAAATACATGGCATTACCATGCCAATCCCTCCGAGAGTTGTCATGACAGAAATATAAATCACAGCATATATAATGATTCAGAAGACTTATATAATATAGTACATGAGTCATATGGATTACTTTTATGATGCTTTTACAGAGCACCATCCACTTCCACTGTATAGATATACGCAGCTCAGATATTTGTTTAAACTTATCCTTTTACGTTTTATGAAGAAAGTTTTTTTTAACAGTGTGTAAATGACAACAGAATTCATTAAAAAACATTTTGGGTGAGCTATACCTGTTTTCTTTTCGTCTGTCCCTCACTAGCCTGCATGTTTTTTCCTCCTTCATCTCAGTATCTTTCAAACGGCTTCTGTTGAAGGCTATGAAGATAAGTGTAGAGGTCTCATAAGAGGAGTTCAGTATGAGGAGAGAGAGAATGTGAGGGGTTGTGGTGCCGTCGAGAGGATACTAAACTGAATTAGTGTTTTTAGTGATTTTGAGACACCTCATTTCTCTCCAGAGAAAAGAAATAGCATATTAAACAGGACTCTTATAGGCAGAACAAAGCAGCGCAAGGGAATCACGCATAATCTGCTTGATTTGCAACCTAATACAATTACATTAAAACAGATTTAAATGCAATTTTGCTTCATATTTGTACAATTTGCATTCACATTTTCTGCCATTTATTCATTAGACATTAGATTGATCATTGTATCCACACTGTGAATGTCGGGGGTCGTGACTCTATCTAGAACAGAATCTGTTGGCTGCTGTAACTTTCTCTTCACATACAGGGCAGAAATCATTTTTCTGGTTTGAGGGATTTCTGTCTTATCTTTTAAAAGGCATACACTGTAACGAAAGTGAAAAATCACATCTCAGCCGTTTCTCAAGACCTTTCAATAGCCTATTTAAAAAAAAAAGAAAAAAAAGGGTATATACCAATTTCATGTTCAGCGTGTCAGCATTTACTGTATATATCTACCAGTTTATAAAGATTAACAGGTCTATATTACTGTGTATAATTTAATTGACCTACCATTTGATTCCTTTTAGCCTTTAAACAGGTACTTTATACATTGAAAAAAAAAATTACCTGAGCTAGTAAGTGAGTTATGCCATTGTTCACCCAGAGCAGCTGTTTGCCCAAATTGCCATAATTGGCATAAAAACATTTAATTCACTGGCATTCACACCATGTTATTTCCAAAACTAAGTGGCCAAAATTTCTCTGACAAATACATATTGTATCAGATATTGACAAGTTGAGTAGGCAAAGTAATCAGAAAAGACTATATTTTTCATTGAGATAAATGCCTTAAAGAGTATAAATCGGTTCAAATTTCTCTTCTTGAGTCAGTTATCATGCTGTTGAGTCACATTTAGGATTCTAATTGTGTCCTTGGTTCCTTCCCTGCAGGCTTCTGCGTTCTAAATGCTGCTTATCATCCATATTTGTGTTTAATTGGGATGTATGTTTTCAGTTGCCCACAAAAACAGCCACTCAAACAGTTTTACAAATAAACCGCTTTTCAGAAGTGACGTTGCCACAAATATTCGCCCAAAGGTGGCTGTTTTCATGAAAGAAATGTACAAATGGTAAAAACAAATCACATAAACCATGACATTGTCACTACTCAGTAACTGGCTGTAAGCAAATATTCCAGGTTCAATACAATTTAAGCTCTGTCGACAGCATCTTTGAAATGCTATCTTTGCAGTCATTTCAACTGGTCCCTCAGTTCATGAAAACTGGAAAAATTGGTGTCCTGTAATGCACTTACAGTATGACTGGTTTCAAATTACTATAAAAATTCCATTTGGAATTTCAGACTGTTAGAACTGATTACCTATGAAAAGATGCTGTCAATAGAGCTTACTTTATATACAAAACT